TCACTCTGTTGCCAGGTGCCAGGCTGGAGTGCAGTGGCACGATCTCAGCTCACTGTAACCTCTGCCTCCAGGGTTCAAGCAATTCTCCTGCCTCAGCCTCCCAAGTAGCTGGGACTACAAGCGCGCGCCACCACACCCAGCTAATTTTTGTATTTTTTAGTAGAGATAGGGTTTCACCATGCTGGCCAGGATGGTCTCAGTCACCTGACCTCGTGAACCGCCCGACTCGGCCTCCCAAAGTGCTGGGATTACAGACGTGAGCCACCATGCCCAGCCTATGGTTCTTCTAATTTTTCTCAAAGTAGTTTCACATCTGACATCTACCAAATGCTCACTGAATATAAAAAATGTATTCAACATGATTTGCAAATTCACAAATGTTTATTAGTACTAGTTCAGGAAGCAGCTTTTTGATCTAAATTCTATCTTTGTTCGCTCCATTACAATGTTTCTGGATAAAGCATCAATAAAACTCAAAAATGTTAAGATTCAAAGTGTAAGTAAATATTTTTTTAACATCAAAATTTCATTTATAACATTGATGAGCAAAGAAAAAAGAAAACAAAGTAACGGAATTTTTATTTTTCTTTTTAATAGTCCGGAAAGGTTCATGTTAGTTTATTTTTCTTTTATTTACAAATAAAACACAAATGGAAACTGAAACATCCAACTGTTAAACATCAGAAAAATTTCAAAACAAATGAGTATTACAAATAGAAGTCAGTAGGATCTCTTGATTAATATAATTTCTAATCTATCCACAAAAACCTAGTATTAAAGGTACAACAGAATACTGATTTCGTTAACGGATGTTTAAATCAGGGCTCTGAGAAAGTTTTACGTCTCAGGAATAAAGGGCCTATATATAGATGATTATCAGCCCATTTGTCATCTTGTTCCAGGTTCGGAAAAGCTTGTCTGAGTTAGGTGTTCAAGTGACCCAAATGACCTACTTTAATTTTAACTTTACGAGACATTGAAGAAATCAGGAAATGAGTAAAATGCCCTGTGAATCACCACAAATTTAAATCACCTTATTCATTTCCATGGAATCTAAAATGCAATGCTATAGAAATAAATGACTCTAGTTACAAATATATAAAAAGAAACAAATCTGAAAAAAAAATCTCGTAAGATGACTACATTTAAAAATAAAACTAATAGCTCTTGATACAAACTAAGACTTATATAAAACTCAGATGCCCTGGCATGTTTAATGTAAAGGAGGAGATACAGGCTGGGTGCGGTGGCTCACGCTTCTAATCCCAGTACTTCGGGAGGCCAAGGCAGGCGTATCACCTGAGGTCAGGAGTTCGAGACCAGCCTGGCCAACATGGTGAAACCCTGTCTCTAAAAAAATAAAAATAAATAAAAAGAAAATATTAAAAATAAATAAAGTTTTTTTTTTAAAAAGGAGGAGATACAATAGGATATAATATTCATTTTAAGATAGAGTAATTAAATATACAATAACTTATACTGGTATTAAAATCAAACTGTTATAAAAGCCAATTCAGAAGCTGCATCTGTATTCCCTAAGAGGGCTTCTTGTCTTCAGAGGACTTCTTATTTTCCAGCATTTTTTTTTTTAATTCAAGAGAAGAGCATGGCATTCTGCTCTCCTCTCTACAAAAGAGGAATTGGTAGTAATTTCTAAACTTAAACTAGTTTTAATTTTGAAAACTGTATAGGTTGGTTTCACCTACAAAAGGGCTAGATTTACTGTAGTGCCCCTCTTCTTAAAACAAATGCAAATCTGTAATCTTTATTACAGATAAATTACCGAGTAAAAAAAATACAGTGTATTAAACTACATCACCTGTATTTCTCAGGAGACCTTAAGTCATTTTATCCACAAATGACGAGATTATAAGACTTCAATGTATCTGATATCACAGTTGTAAATTAATAAAAATGTTATTTATAAACATAAAATATTTTCCACGTAATTATTTGGTAAAAGTAATATAATTACAGTACATACACTACCCCCTTTACAAGTATAAATATACTTACCACCATTAACAGAGTATGCTCTATTAACTGGAAAATGTGGAACATCTCCTTCATTAATTAGTCTCAGGTCTTGTTCTCTCTGTAGCTCCCTGATTATTCCATCAAGAATGCTCTCATCTTGCTCATTGGTTTGCTGCCCAATTACCTGTTCTACCACCTCACCATCACCTTAATGAGACCAGATACAAAGCCACAAAATTACTTACATATTAATATACCTTAAACACAGTAAAACAACCTCTCAATTTCTACACAAATGATTAAGAACAGGATTAAACTGGAAATAAAGTATATAACAAATGAAACATATTATTAAACACTTGAAATATTTTTGAGGTACTAGCTTATGTGTCTGACTTAACCAATGTTCCCAAACTAGACATTATTATGAAGACCTTTTCATCTATAAAAATACAATTATGTGCTGCATAATGGCATCTTTGACAAAGATAAACCACATATACAACGGTAGGCTCATAAGATCATAATGAAGCTGAAAAATTCTTATTTCCTAGTGACATCATAGCCATCATAGTGCAATAGTCCTCACATGTTTGTGGTGATGTTGGGATAAACAAACCTACTTCACTGTCAGTTATATAAAAGCATAGCACATACAATTATGCATAGTACATAATACTTGGCAATAAATAACTATATTACTGTTTTATGTATGCACTATACTATACTTCGTATCATTCTGAAATGTACTCCTTCTAATTATTAAAAAAAAAAAATTGCACTGTAAAACAGCCTCAAGAAGGTCCTCCAGGAGGTAGTCTAGAAAAAGGCATTGTTATAAGGGATGAAAGCTCCATGTGTTATCGTCCCTGAAGGCCTTTCAGTGGGACAAGCAAGATGTGGAGGTAGAAGACAGAGATATTGATGATCCTGACTCTGTGTAGACCTAGGGTAATGTGTTTGTTCCTTAACTTTTAATTAAAAAGTTTAAAATGTAAAACAATAAAAAAATTTTAAATAGAAAAAGCTTATAGAATAAGGATATAAAAATATTTTTATACAGTTGTAAAACATATTTGTGTTTTAAGCTAAGTATTATTACAAGAGAGTCAAAGGCAAAAAAAAAAAAAAAAAAAAAACTAAAAAGTGTTTCAAGTAAGCTGAGGTTAATTTGTTACTGAAGAAAGAAAAATATTGTTTATATACATTTAGCATAGCCTAAGTGCACAGTGTTGATAAAGTGTACAGTAGTGTGCATTAATGTTCTAGGCCTTCACATTCAACCACTCACTCACTGAATCACCCACAGCAATTTCCAGTCCTGTAAGCTCCATTCCATGATAAGTGCTTTATACATGTATACCATTCTTTATCTTTTATACCATATTTTTACTGTACCTTTTCTGTCTTGATATGCTCAGCTATAAAAATATGTACTAATGTATTATGATTGTCTATGGTACTCAGTACAGTTACAGGCTGTACAAGTTTGTTACCTAAGAGCAACTAGCTATGCCATATAAGAGTTCTGGGTAAGGTTTAAACAAGTTCAACCACAGATACCTAAAATGCTTTACATCCCTCTTTTGTGAAACTTTCCTTTCTGAAAGAAGTCAAAATGATGATCTTTCAAATACTGTCTTTTGATAATATTTTAGGGTTTTAATGAATACAAAATTATTTTTTATATACACTGAAACTTAATTATTATTTCTGAATGAAAATGTTAAATCTTTTTCTTTCTTAAGTATATCATAGTCCTGGTTTTCATCTTGTCCTCTAGTCAGATTACAGAGTAACCAAGTTATCAGATCTTACAAGAAATATAGTCTGATAAATTAAACTTTCTTATTCATGTTTTCAAGTTTATCTCCCAATTAATTAATAGTCATACCTTTTCTCCTTGGCTAATACATAGGACATCATCACAGCAATTACTGGCACATGTATAATATCATTTATCTACTCTACAACCTTTATGAGCAAGAACATAAAAAGATATGCTATATTTCATTCTATAAGGATCAGCTAAAACCTTAATTCCCTAAGCAAGGGTGAAATTCTACTTGCAAATCAGTAACTTACTAGCTTGTACCTGAAGACAACCTACAAGTACCAAAGTAAGATATGAAGGCATTTTATGTGGGGGTACAGGGCAGTATAAATAATGTTAATATGCGAACCAGAAGAGAACAAGTTGCTTTGATAGAAAATAGATTATGCCAATGTTTTATTCTACTATCTTCCCATCATGTATCACATTCATATCTGCTTTTCCAGTATCTCCCAAGACTGAGTGCTATTTAAATACTCACATTCTCTTACCCACCCAATAACTCTTTGCAGTTCAAACATGACAGCTAAATAGCTACCTCCAGTTTGGCGGGGGTGGGGGTGTGGATGGTTTTTATTGAGACAGAGTCTCACTCTGTCGCCCGGTCTGAAGTTCAGTGACATGATCTCAGCTCACCGCAACCTCTGCCTGCCAGGTTTAAGTGGTTCTTGTGCCTCAGCCACCTAAGTAGCTGGGATTACAGGTGTGTACCACCATGCCCAGCT